TATTACAGTCATATTAATGTATGTCGCATATTCTATATTTTGATATGACCTAGTCAGCAATAATTGCTATTGCCATCACCTACCAAAAAAAAAAAAAAGCTTGTAGAGTCTTCTTGCTGTTACTGCAGTACAGCAAGATTGCATGAGTCTTTTGTTAAATTTGTAACCAAAAGGTTACAGAATAAGAAGCTGGAGATGAAATAGGTTATAGAAAGCATTGCAATGAATCATTGGGGACTTTGGGTTACCTTGCAGACTGTGTAGTTGCAGCCAGCCCTAGTGCAGATACGCATCTCATCTCAAGAAAAAAAAATTCTACTCAAGAATTTGAATGCAGGTAGTAGTTTACTTACAATTAGTCATTCTATTATCAGCCTATATGAAAAAAGAGAGCTACAATCTGGTTCTAAAATTTTGATAGTTGCCCTCCCCTTATAGTCATGTGATGAAACTTTGGATGCTTGGCAACATGACATCACCTGAGTTGATGACTGAGTTTTACAATGGTTTAGCTGAAAAATCATTGTAAATGGTTAGCTTAATGGGTTAGCTTAATAGCCACAGTATTTACTTAAAAACTGATGCAAGAAAAGGTTATAAATTTGAGTTGCTTGATTTGATCAAGTGATTGACTTGATTTACAGACATCATGACATACAACCATAATGAAAAGCTCCATTACAGTCATATGTCAAGGACTATCTGTCAGACACAAGGAACCAGAAAGACACTGAAAGTTGATCAGAGTGATTTGCCTATTTACAAGAATTTAGTCAAACTATCTGCATTTACCATAGAATAACTAGCTATGCAGTACAAGGTTTAGAAAGGGTCTGCTTTCCACCACTTCTTTTCTTTCAGTGATTCCAAGCTAGACAGTCTTTTAACTCCTCCCCCTACTTCAGCCGCAGATTCCACCACACTGTAGCTTTAGACACATTAGTTTTCCTTATACCTGGCAATTCAATTCTTACTTTTCAGAAATCTTTTCCAGGAGCCAATTAAAAGGATTGCAGTTTTATTTTAATCTCCTACTTCTTTACAAATGACATATTGGATGGGGGAAGGGAGGGTACAGTATCATCGCACTGTGGAACTTTGCTCACTCAGTTTGTATAGACTGCTTCCCTAATGTTGGCTTCAATTTCAATTACTTCAGTACCTGAATAAACACTTGAAGCATGTGGAGAATTTATGTTTATGTTCTTAAAAACATGAACTAGAGTTTCAGGAATTAACCTATTTTGCAATGATAATCTCAAAGAATTTTGTGGCTGGTTTGTCAAATCTTCAGGAACTTCCATCCAGGGTAAGTTGTGGGTGCTCCATCACTAGAAGTTTTAAAGAAGAGATTGGACAACCATTTGTCTGAAATGATATAGAGCCTTCTGCTTAAGCAGGAGGTTGAATTAGAATACCTCCAAGGTATCTTCCAATTTTATTACTGTTATTCTTCTATTCCTATATTATTGAATGAGATTCAGCCAGTTCACATTTCAATTTTTGTTCAAATATGGTAATAAATGGAGGAAAATCAGCTATACATGGTTTAAATTATCTACTAAATCCCCCCGTGTCTCATAATTTAATCTGTGTTATTTTGATATTTTTCTCAGAACTTTTATATTTTCTACAGAAATCACTATATTGTAATCCCCCAGAAGATACGAATTTTCATATGAAAATTTCAAAAGTTTATCCATATTTTTTATAAAATGCTGTTTTATCTTCATTTAGGATATAAAACAAAGTTTAGACCTCTGTAGACTAACTTCCACTCAGACATATCTGCCATAGTTAATTGTCCTGAAGGAGGTGGTTCATGTAGAAATTATCTGATCTCTTTAGAAATCTCTCTAACAGAGGTAGAATGTACGTTGATCTGATTCTTTGTAGAACTGACAGCACAATGGGACATATGAGATATTTTCAACTTCCCCATTGCCACATATACATATTCGCTCAGATATTGGGGTTTTATCATACCTGCAGGAGTGCTGATGGGAGGATATTAAGTTTGGTTCTAAAAAATGCTATATTCCTCTTAGGAAAAGTCAGGTCTTTGAGATACCTTGCTGGTTCCCACATACCCAATTTAATCTGATTTCTGTTGTGGAGAAATATCCTGCTAACGTCTAGCTGCAACTCCGTATCTCTTATTCTATTGGTAACCACTTGCTTGGCTTGATCAAAGCCTACGGCAGTGGTGGCAGTGGTGGCAAACCTATGGCACGGGTGCCAGAGGTGGCACTCAGAACCCTCTCTGTGAGCACGCGTGCCATCGCCCCAGGCCTAGGCCTTCAGCTTGGTTTTATAAAAACTTTTCACTTTAGGCCTCTGCCGTTGTGTGCAAAAAAAAAAAAAGGTTCAATCAATCAATTTCAACTTTTCGCAGAAAAAAAGATCTTGTAAAGTTGAAATTGATTAATTGAACTTTTTAGTCCCACCCAGTCTGCTGTTACCACTGCAGCCACATCCACCCAATGGGCCATGCCCAGCCAATGGGCCACACCTACCCGACACTCAATGATGCATAAGTGGGTTTTGGGTTGCAGTTTGGGCACTCAGTCTCTAAAAGGTTCACCATCACTGGCCTAGGGATATTAAAAACAGTGGGGAAAGTCCATAGAAGGCCAGCTTATGCTCTATCATCTGTTTCTAGTGAGAGGGGAAGTTGTCTATCAGGACTAAAGGGGTCAAATTCTCTGGGAAGAATTGAATTTTTAATCAGTACATTATCATCCTCTTCCAAGCACTTATGTGAATTTGAGGCATTCCTGTCACAATTCTCAACTGGGTATTTGATATCTGTTAGGTGCCACTAAATGGATCACAGGAATTTTGTTTGTATGGTTTCTAAAGATTTTTTTCTTCAAAAAAAAAATCCTGTTTTGCTCCATAGACAATTTCTATCAGTGTTTTAGCCTTTTAGAGTTTTAAGGCTGCAGGGACCTTAATTGTCCTCCGCCTGTGTAAAAAAAAGTGTTTAATAGCATTTGAGGAACTAAGACTGATTGCATTATGTGGTCCAGATGTGCTTTCCAAATACCTTTCCTATGGAAAACCACTCCAGATGAATATATTGATCTGTTCTAGATTGTGTCCTTTTACACTCCAAGAATATTGAATAGTTCTTTTAGCAAAAACTAGGATTTCCAATTTCTCAAAATTGAGGTTCAGGTTATTTTGTCTATAATATTTTAATGTTGCTGTAGTTGAAATAGCTCTCTTGAGTTTCAGAAACATATAATATTTTATATCTTTTTTCCTAATATTTATTAATTTTATGAAATTTCTATATTTCCCATTTCAGCTAAATGATTCTGGGTGGTTTACAAACAACAAAACAAATAAATATAAATACATGACTAGCAGTACATTAAAAACAGAATTAAGAACAAGAATAACATTTACAAGTTAAAAGTGAAAATTAAAATTAAAAATTTCAGAAATCTAAAAAGTTAACAAGGTGGAGGGAGGGCCCTCAAGCCATCCCCAGTGTTGCATCACACTCTTAGGCTCCATACTAATTAGCAGAGCCAGGTCATTCATCTGGAAAACTCAAAGGTTAGACTTGATGCATCACTGGGTCTTTTTCTGTTGTCACTTTTTAATGTTTCTATGTTAAAATCAGAAAGGTGAGGGGTTTTGCCTCACCTCTGGGGCAAAATGTTCCAAAAGGTGGGGGCAACAGCAGAAAAGGATGTCCTTCTAGGTCTCACCAGTCAAAATTCTTTGACTAATGGGATTTACAGCCTGCTATCTCTGCTTAACTGAATGGAATGGGTTATGTAATTAGAATGATGGCTCCTAATGGCTTCTCAGTTATCCTGGTCCCATGCCACAAAGAGCTTTAAAGATAATAAGCAACAGCTTGAATTGGACTCAGAAGCAAACTGGAACTTAGTGCAACTCACAGAGGCATTATATGTGACACCCTAGTCTAGAGGCACCCAGAACTGCTTATACTGAAGCATTCTACATCAGCTCTATATATGTTCTTCTGGTAGATAAATTACATTTGTCAGGAAAAAGTACTCTTTTATCTTACTATTGTAATTGTGATTATTTTAATTGCAGTTACATCTGTAGTATCAATCCTCAGTCTGGTAATAAAATGGTGTTGTAGAACATGATCTTATTTTCATCCTGATGAAGTTACAATAACATCCCTTGGAACATTACATAATTTTGCAAAATGTCTGTTGATGCTATAGGCTTTATCAATCTCATCTTCTCTCCAATCGAGGAATCCATACAGAGATTTAACAATATTTTCCCTAATATCTCCACTTTCTTCTGGATTTGCTCTAAATCAGTGGTTCTCAACCTGTGGGTCGGGACCCCATTTGGGGTCGAACGACCATTTCACGGGGATCACCAAACAATGCAGTCTGCCATTTTTTTCCCCCTTTCCCTTAGCTGTGCTACTTCCTTTTATTCTATTGGCTTTTGAAAGCCAATAGAATAGACTCTCTTGAATAGAGTCTAATTCTATTGGCTTTCGAAAGCCAGTAGGAATTGTCCAGGCTGTCTCTGCCCTGCTGAGCCCGCCAAAAGTCCCATTCTGTAAACGGTGCTGCACCAGTTGAGTAGTCTTCAACTTACGACCGGTTGAGTAGTCCTCGACTTACGACCGGTTGGGGGTCGCAGCATTAAAAAGGTTGAGAACCACTGCTCTAAATTGTAAATAAAATTCTTAGCACTAGCACTGATGATGTTACCTAATTTTGGTAATGAAATGTTTGCAAGAAAACAGCCAAGCTCAGAGAGCACATAGGATCCCTCATAATTTTTTTCTCCTAAATTTCAGTAATGCCAAATTGTCTAAACCCTTTTCCATCCATCTCTCTATTTATAACTTCTGATTTATTTTCCAAAATTTTCACTTTGTCAATAATTTATTTTAAATCTGCAGCCAATTGCCTTACAGAATCTTCATTTTTCTTCATTTCTTCTTCTATATCTTTTTTTATCCCTGCAAATCCTTTTTCCATATCTTTTTTTAACTAATTCAGTCACCTTTTTAAAGCAAATTCTTCAAATAATTTCTGCAATGGCTAAAAAAAATGCCATTATCATAAATTTGTTCTGGTGAATCCCTGTATTCTCCAGGTTTATTAGTTTTTCTTGTGGTTGCTTGTTAAGAAAGTGAAAGTATGTCAGTTATTTTCTTGCTTCACTTTTTCTGCTTTATTTTTATCTATTTTGAGTCTTTTAGTCTCACTTAGCTTTCTGTAGTCACATTCAAACACTCAAGCTCACATTATTTTATCTTCTCATTCACAGAGAAGTCTGATTGGTTACTAGAGTTTACTATTTTCAAATATACTTTCATCAAAGAAAAATAATCCAGTTTTTTTTACAAAAATCACTGTTATTTTTTCCCATTTGAAACTTTCTAATATCATAATCTTGTCAAGCTTTTTGCTTTCAAAATACTTTTAAAATATTTCCCCTCTCATTGATGCTCACTTAAACTGTAAATCAATTGAATCAGATGATTAAAAAGGTGATTTTTTTTGTCAGCCAAACTTAAAAAGTTGCACAGAAATTTAGGTCATGTTTTTAAATTATACCAAGCTTCTCTCAATCAACCCAAGAAACTAAATTCCTACAGACATTTTGCGAAGAGCAGCTCTTCCAGATCACAAATGGATAACTACATTTTCTCCTGCATCTATAGACATTTTCTATCAGCAGAACCAACTCCTGACTGGCAAATCCACTGTTACACTGTCTCTGCCATTCATAGAAATATCTAACTACATATCCAGAAGCCAAACTTGAATGACATAGATATGTACACTATGATAAAATTAAATTTAAGGTGGACTTTAAAAATCATTGTATTACATTGATACTATGGAATAAACATAAACCCAGGTTCTGCCAAAAATATCTTTAGGGAACTTAACTCAAGAATATATTATAAAAGAAAAATGCCAGATAAAGATAAATAGTTGATATACTGGGACCTATTGGAAAAATTATCAAGAGAAATTTAAAATCAGAATAAGTTAACAATTAATAGCAGGATATGCTTGTTAATATTTTTCACATTTACAATTGAAATATTGTAAGATTAAAATCAATAAAAAGATTTATAGTATGGAACAAAGTAAGTCAGAATTTGAAATACATTTTTTTCCTCTCCCCACTGGAAATCAAATAAAGTAGATCCTAAATCCAAATCTAGGAAGGAGAGGTAGGGAAAGAATGCTTAGAACAAAATTTTGGATCTAATAGTTTGAATAGGGCTCTCTTTATGTCTTTGTTTCTCATGCTGTAAACTAGTGGATTTAGAATTGGTGGGACAAGAGAATATGTAATGGTCAACATTATATCCAGATCAGATGGGGAATTTGAGGGAAGCTTCATGTATGTGAGTATTCCTGTGAACATTAACACAGAGACAACAATGAGATGAGGAAGACAAGTGGACAAGGCCTTTTGTCTTCCCTGGGCAGATGGTATTCTGAACACTGCACTCAAGATCTTTATATAACTTACCAAAATGAAGATAAATAAACCTAATACTATGATAATACTGAAGGCAAGAATTTCAATTTCACCTTTATTGGAATCTGAGCAAGTGAGCTTTAATAATTGTGGGATCTCACAGAAGAACTGATTGACAATATCAGAGCAAAAAGGAACTGTAAATGTGCCAACTACATGTAGGATTCCAAAGAAAAAGCCACTGACCCATACACCAGCAATCATCTGAGCACATGTTCTCCTGTTCATCACCATTTCATACTGCAAGGGACTGCAAATAGCAACATATCGGTCATATGCCATTACTGTGAGAAGAAAGAAATCAGATGTCAAAAATGAAACAAAAAGGAGAGCTTGAGAAATACAACCAGAATAAGAAATACTTCTGATATTCATGAGAGAATTTGCTATGGATTTAGGCATAATGGCTGAAACAGAAGCAAGATCCAGCATTGCCAAGTTCATCAGAAAAAAGTACATGGGAATGTGCAGATGATCGTCAAAAGTTATAGCTGAGATAATGAGAAGATTTGCTGTTGCAGTTGCCAAGTAGAAGGCTAGAAATACAAAAGAATGTAGAATTTGAAGTTCCCTAATGGCTGAGAATTCCAGAAGCAGGAATGAAGGCACAGATGTCTGGTTATGCACAAAGAGTTTCATACTCCTTACTAAGATGAATATACCATCTGAAAAAAGAAGAGAAAATAATTAAAAGTACAATTGGGGCCACTTTTTGAAAAAGAATTATTTCTCTAGCTATTCACAAAAAGTAATGCTCAATTTGTATCTTTATGCTTCAGTATCAAATTATCTTCCATTGTATATTCATCTTTGAATAAATAAAAAGCATTAATATGTCTTTGAAACTTCATTTATAACTACTCTCTCATTACAATAAAAATCAGAAAGTAATAAAATAACTGAACTGAAATAAGAAAAATTGAAATATTCCATTTCCTGCACTATTGTAATCTTTGTAATTATAGATACATGACAGCAGAACTCTTCACCTTGATACATATTCTGATATCATCTACTAGTTTAGGATGACAGCCTTTCCACCTCTGCCCATATTAGCTAACAAAGACCCCAACACCCCAAGATTGCTTATTCCTTAATTGAAAGTTTGGCAACCTGTGTGTACATCTGGAAGTATCCAGATTGCCAAGGTTGCAGTGGATAAGTGAACAAACATATAGATTAGCATTTCCCAACCTGATAATAACAAGATAATTACATACTCTAAGACCCACATAATCTTCGAGGATGCTCTAACATGCTTTACTTGTCTGTAATTCAGGAAAAGTATCTACCATCATTTGTTTCAATATTATTACCATTATTACCATAGATATATCCCAGTCAACAAAACAGAAAAAAAAGCAAATGCCTCATATAGTCAGTAATTTGTTATTACAATTTATATCCATTATTAACTCACTATTTTTACTCTGTGCTTCTCAGTTTATTTCTGATGTTCTTCTTACACCAATAGTTTTAAATGATCTAGACAATAGTATGGCTATTTATACACGTTTTACTGTTTATGCATTAGATAAATGAGAAAATTGTCTATTGTCTTGGGAAACAGACTTCATGGAAATGCCTGAAGAGTGAAACATTATTTAGAAATATACAAAAACACAGCAAAGAGGCTGGGTCAAAGGTGAATAAACCCAACTGCAGTACATCTGACTATACTGATATGTTCCAATAATAGGTGACTCTTTCCTTCTGTTTTGGCCAAAAGATTAATTATTCTTCTGGTCTTTATTTCCTTATTATACTATAATAAAGAACATGGACTAATCATTACCAGCAGAATATGTACTAGTGTACTACATTAGTAAGAACTAGTATGTAATTCTTACAAGTAATGTTTACCAATTAAGTGTTCACTTAGACTTATAAAGCTAGGAAAATATGTATATAATTAGATCAATTAAAAAAACTTGGATAACTTTAAGAAAGTTAAGAAAAATAATAAAAATGAACAGTTAAGAATTTGTTGTGTTATGCTTTTATGTCCCCAAATACATAGAGTGGAAAGATTGGTTAAATATACTATCTTTTCTTGGGCTTCTTTTCTCCATAGCTGGGCTCTGTGATATTAATTAATTGTTGCCACTGCCACTAGTTTGTGCTGCTTCCTGAAACTGATAAGACCTTAATCAGTTTAACATTAAAAGCTTTATTTTGCCTCCTAAGTGCCTCTCCACTCAGCATTGTAAGTATGCTAAGCAAACAGTTAATGCTAATACATTTTTTTCTATGCCTATTTCCCAATGTGTGACTAACTCTCTCTTTTTTTTGTAAAAAAAAATTATTTTCAGTTTTGCAATGCATTACATTCATAAAAATACTTCAGATAAAGAGTAAAATAAATTGATACACACAACTTTCGGTATTGCTCACCCATTTCCCCCCAAACCGCATCCACCCTCTAACCTACTTCCTCACTCTCCCCCTCTCCTCCTTCTCCTCAACCTTCCTACTTGCTTCTCCCCTTCTTCCTATCTTCTCGCTCCGGATGCGGTCCAGGGGAAATGCCCAAGCAATTCCTCTCTCCAAATTTTTTTTTTTTTTTAAATTGAAAATTTTTATAAGTTTTTACAAAAAAACAGAAAAAAATACAACAATACAAAAACAGAAAACAACATATACAAAAAACTAAACATAACATCCCCTTCCCCATCCCCCCAAAAAAAACACCCCCCCTTCCCCCCCTGAGCTTTCCAGAGCAGAATGTAGGCTTAATTAAAAAAGAATTTAAAAAAAATATATATAAAAAAGAAAAAAATTAAGACTGAAATATATGTATATGTATATAGAAATAAAAATTATGAAAAAGCAATATGATATTTTTTTATATCCAATTTAAATTGTATAAATTCTATCCATTTATCCCAAACAGCAAGAAATTTCTCTTGCGTTTGTTCCTTTAAGAAAGCCAAAATCTTTGCCATTTCCGCCAAATGAGACACTTTAAAAAACCATTCCTGCAGTGTAGGCAAGGATTCCTTCTTCCAATATTGTCCTACTAACAGCCTTGCGGCTGTAATCAAATTTAACATCAATATAACCTCCTTTGTATCACAATCAGTAACTATACCCAACAAAAATAACTGCGGAGTAAATTTTACCCTCCTTCTGAAAATTCTCTGAATATTCCACCATATCTTAATCCAAAATGCTTTTATCTCTCTGCACGACCACCAAATGTGGTAATAGGTGGCATCCAAGCAACCACATCTCCAACATTTAGGCTGTAAGTCCGGGTACATGAAAGACATTTTTTGTGGGTCAAGGTGCCATCTATAAAACATTTTATAAAAATTCTCCCTTAAGTTCTGTGCCTGTGTAAATTTGACATTTCTTACCCAAATGGTTTCCCATATATCCAATGGGACTGATTCACCAAAATTTTGGGCCCATCTAATCATACAATCTTTAATTAATTCCGTTTCTGAGTCCAATTCAACTAGCACCCCATAAATTCTCTTAATATGGGCTTGTCTTTGATCCTTCACTTGCTTGATAAGATTTTCATCTTCTCTAAGAAAGCCCACCTTGCAATCCACCTTCCATCTATCTGCTAATTGCCTATATTGAAGCCAAGAGTAAATAATATTTTCTTGTGCTAACTCCTCCCGTAATTTTAATTGCCAATTTTGTCCATCCCATCTGAGTAGCTGTCTATAAAACACCATGTCCATTTTAACACCTCTTTTTATTCCTTCTATCGCATGCCAAGGTATAGCCAATAATGGTACTTTAAAATCACTTTTATAATATTTTCTCCAAATCCTGAGTAAAGAAGTTCTTATAATGTGAGATTTAAAAGCCCAATCCACTTTTTTATTGAATATTAAATAGGCATGCCACCCATAAAGTAAGTCCCATCCCTCTAGATGGAGTATCTCGAGATTTGTCAAATTTACCCAGTCACTAATTAGTGTTAAAACCACCGCATCATAATATAATTTCAAATTCGGTACCTTGAGTCCACCTCTCTCACAGAAGTCTTGCATAATTTTAAACTTAACCCTTGGCTTTTTCCCTGCCCAAATAAATTTATTAACACTCTTCTGCCATTCACTTAGATTAGTCTCATTCTTCAAAATCGGTAACATTTGAAACAAAAAAAGAAACTTGGGTAGAATATTCATTTTTATCACTGCAATTCTTCCCATGAGAGATAGTTGCAGCTTCTCCCAATTCAAATTAAAACATCAATATTATATACAATAAAACTATTTCTACTTATCTGAGCTACTTAAACTTCAACCCACTTTAAAATCAAGCTTGGGTGAGGGTAGGGATGTGGAGCTGCCGCACACTCCCCACATCCACTTACCTTGCAGCCAGGCCTCTCCATGCAGGCCATTTCTTTTGCAGCATCCCCAGTCCTGCATTTCACAGTCAGAGGCCTTTCCAGAAGGCCACTGCAGCCAAGAACTGAGCTATAGATTAAATCCATAGCTCACTTCTTGGCTGCAGTGGCCTTTCAGAAAAGCCTTTGATTGCAAACTGCAGGTGCAGAATAAAGCTGCTCCTTTGGCCACAGAAATGGACTGGCTGGGTGGGTTGTCGGTGCCAGAGGTGAGTATAAAAATATACCCCCCAAAATAGGAGGCAAAAAAACTGGGTTTTTTTTGGGGGGGAAAATACAGTATTAAGGATGACTAGATTGGAAGAAGATGTGTGGTGTTAAAATAGTGGAAGAAACATAAATAACCTGAGTTATGCTGATGACACTATTCTGATAGCCAAAAATGCAAAGGATCTGCAAGTAATATCTAGTAATACAAGTTATCTAGTACAGGGGTCCCCAATCCCTGGTCTGTGGTCCAGTCCCAGGCCACGGCATGCCAATGACTGGTCCACAGAAACAAAGAAAGCCCCGTCCATGAGATGCAGGCAGTATACAAAACTACACCTCCTCTGGTCCGCAGAAAAACTTCTCTCCATGTAACCGATCCCTGGTGCCCAAAAGGTTGGGGACCTCTGATCTAGTAATAAAGACCAAGGAGCATGATGAAAAAAAATTTTATATAAAGAATAAGGAATATGAAGAATAAATTAATAACAACATTTACAATAACTTGCCCTAGAAATAACAATGAAGACAATATAGTCTTCCTTTTAGGATCAACCATCATTAAAACTGAAGGCAGTCAAGAAATACCCCTTGGTATTCTAAAGGCCTTATAAAACATATGCAGATATTATTCTATGGTGTGTCTATATTTTAAAAGATCAAAATACTGCATGTAATACTATTTCCTATGATATTCTATGGAAACAAATGTTGAACTTGGAAGAAGAAGAATAGAAAGAGTATTGATATTTTTGAACTTTAATGTTAGAGAAGATTGGACAGACAAGAAAGCAAATAGATCATTATGCAAAGATGTAACTCTAAGGAAAAGTCTGTAATTCTGGGAAAGGTGGAAAGAAAAAGAGGAAGAAGATGACAACAGGAAGGTAGATCAATCCAATTACCAATGAGTATAACTTTGAAAAACCTGAAGGACCATGTTAGGCATAGATTGTCAAGTGATCACTAAGAAGCAACATTGATATGAATAGAGAAATATGAGAGAGAAAGAATGAACAAGAGAGCAAGAGAGTGAGAGAGCGAGAGGCCCAAGGCCATCCAGCTGACTTTGTACACATATTTGGCAATATGTACAATTAAACCATTTTATTAGCCTCTAATACACTGAATTTATAGAAGTAAAATAGTATTACTATTAGTAACTATTTACGTAGTACAGGTGAGTCTGGTTCTTGGAAAGAATACAAGGTTTTGATTTGTGATTAAATTATATTCTGAAAATTTGGTATTTTTCTATTTCTGAAGAGCTTTGTATATATTGCATGTGGATAATTGTGAAATGAGTTTTCTTCTTCTTCTTCTTCTTCTTCTTCTTCTTCTTCTTCTTCTTCTTCTTCTTCTTCTTCTTCTTCTTCTTCTTCTTCTTTTTCTTCTTCTTCTTCTTTTTCTTCTTCTTCTTCTCCTCCTTCTTCTTCCATATCCATTGGCAATCATGTTGCTGATCCTGTTTTTATCAGCAGCCACACGAAAAAGTGCTGCTGAGTTTTGTCCAAATCCCTTAAATTTTGAAGCCATGAAGTTATTCTTCTGCCTGAACCTCATTTGCCTTCAATCTTTCCCTGGAGGATTAAATGGAGTATACCATATTTTTCTGGGTGTTGCATCGTATGTCTGAAATATTCTAACTTTTGTTTTTTAATTGTTTTGATGATTTCCCTTGGCTTTCCCAGGCAGCTTATCACCTCCTCATTTCTGATCAACCCAGCTTATACGTAACAGCCGTCTGTAAATACACATTTCAAATGCTTCTAATCTCTTCAGGTGGCCTTCTGTCAGAGACCAACTGTCTACTCCATAGAGCAGGATAGAAAAAATATAGCATCTGACAAGCCTGATTTTCAATCTTAGGCTTATGTCATGACAGTAGGAGACCT